GCCCACCCCGTCCCGTCGCTAGGAGCTTCGCAACCCCCTATGATGGTGGGATGGGGAGACGGTCCTGGGGGCCTGAAACAGCGAAGAACCTGCCGTCACAGTGTTTCATGACCCGAGGGGGTCTGAGGAGGCGGCGCAGCAAGCGGCATGCTCTCCAGGGAGATCCGCCGCCCACCGCGCTGAGCGCCAGCGGCCGATGGACGTGAAGGAGCAGAGCAGAGGCCCGCACGGGCAGGGAGGGAGAGGGAGGGCGGAAAGGACGACGTAGAAGAGACAGGGAGAGAAGGAGGAGGAGGAGGAGGAGGAGGAGGAGGAGGAGGAGGAGGAGTAGGAGGAGGAGGAGGAGCAGCAGCAGCAGCAGGAGGAGGGGGAGGGGGAGGAGGACAAGCTAGGTGCGTTCGCGTCATATCTGACACCCCACCCACCCCTCCCATCCCCTACCATGGCGTAGAGCGCCTCTGTATTCGCACACTCGGATGTCGCAACATGGCGTAGCATTACATGCCATAGCATTGTGTTGAGGATCAATGCGTAGCATGACATAGCATCGTGTGGCGACGCCCCAGCGTGAGGAGGGGGGTTCTGCGGCCCCATAATTACACGAATCGGCACCGAATGTGTAATCACTTCCGATTGTTATTACTGAACGCCATTTTCCGGATGTTGGGGCCTATTTGGAAGGACCGAAAGCCGTGCCGTGGCATACCACTGGAAATAATGACGCCAACGCTGCAGCGGGAGCACGAATCGGAACGAGCGGAAGCGCGGAAAATAGGCCAGCGCTGCAGCGGGAGCACGATTCGGAACGAGCGGTAGACCAAAAATGAGGCCAGCGCTTCAGCGAGATCAGCATCTTGAAAACACAAAGAAAAAAACAAACAAACAAGCGCGGGAACGCGAACATGAGGACGCGTAGCCTGACACAGCATGACGTGGCGACGCCCCAATGTGGGGGGTGGGCTTCTGCGGCCCCAAAAATACACGAATCGACACCGAATGTGTAATCACTTCGGGTGTTTTTTTTTTCCGGGGGCCATTTTATAGGTTTTGAGTCCCATGTGGAAGGATTGAAAACCATGCCGTGGCATGGCGCTGGAAATAATGACGCCATCGCTGCAGCGGGAGCACGATTCGGAACGAGCGGAAGCGCGGAAATCAGGTTAGCTCTGCAGCGGGAGCACGATTCGGAATGAGCGGTAGCCCGATAATGAGGCCAGCGCTTCAGTGAGAGCAGCATTTTGAAACAAAAACCCAGCGAACACCCAACTTCCAAGAATCCAGTGTAAAAAATCCGTAAACGGAGGGGGGCCAAACAATCCCCAGACGCCTCCAGGGCAGAGAGGGAGTTGTAACCATTCATATTATGTAACTGTGGGGGAGGAGGAGGAGGAGGAGGAGGAGGAGGAGGGAGAGGAAAAGGAGGATGAGGAGGAGGAGGGGGAGGAGGAGGAATAGGAGGAGGAGGAGGAGGAGGAGGAGGAGGAGGAGGAGGAAGAGGAGGCGGAGGCTGAAGGGAGGAGGCGGGGGCGGAAGGGAGGAGGAGGAGTAGGAGGAGGAGGAGGAGGAGGAGGAAGAGAAAGGGGCAGCAGCATCGGCAGCAGCAGGAGGAGGAGGAGGGGGAGCAGCAGGAGGAGGAGGAGGAGGAGGCAAAAAGAGGGACGATGGAGGGAGGGAGGGCGGGAGGGGCCAGGGAGCGGAGCCGGCCTCCTCCACACGAAGCTCGTGAACACCCGCAAGGATGGACATGCCGGCGTGGAGTGTCACCGGCCTGCCCGCGGACGGCGCGGAGAAGCAGCAGCAGGCGGACGGAGGCGCTTCGGCCTGGGAAAGGAGCAGGACGTGCCGCACGCGGTCGCCGGCACGATCTCGGCGCGCTCTGGAACCAGCAGGCAGACAGCCCAGGGAGGCGAGAACGCGGGCGGGGACGACGAGGACGTGGTGACATGTGGAAGAGCAGTTGGTGGAGGCAGGCGCAGCGTGGAGGACGTGAGGGGGGGCCCGAAGGAGGAGCACTCACGCACTCATGCTTGTTCTGCTCTGCCCACTCTAGGGTTTGAAGAAACAGGAGGCGCGGCAGGAGGTGCAGGACAAACGGGAGAGGGATGGACGAGGAGGAGGAGGTGGGTAGAAAAGGGGAGTGGAGGCTTGGAAGCGGCTGGAGGGTCTGCGCTGGATGAGCCCTGAGAGAATCGGTCAAGAGTCCAGAGGGGAGACGAGGGCCAACCCGATCAAACTCGGAACCTCCTGGGGTCGAAGCTGACCAGCTTTTCGAGCCGCGTCCAGCCGTGGCGCTGATGGGCCCCCCTCTTCCCAGAACCCCGATGTCATGTCTGATTCATAACGTCGACCTCGAGAGGTCTCGACCCACTCCCCTGGATTAGTTTTTCATCCTGAGTCGTTGTTTGACGGCCCCGAGGCCGGGTAAGGGCCCCCAAAGGCCGAACATAGCGAAAAACAGCCCGTAGTGACCTTGTCATGGCCCGAAGGGGGAGCAGGCTGCTTCGCATGATATTGATATCAACGAATGGAGACTGAGTTGGATCCGTCAGTGGATCAGCCTTGCACGCTGGCGTAGAAGCTCTGATGCTTCTTATTGGCTGCGGCCCGGCTCATGACGTCAGTCCATGTCCACCCCGTCCCGTCTCCAGGAACTTCGCATCCCCCCTATGATGGTGGGATGGGGAGACGGTCCGCCGCCCCATGCGCTGCACGTACTGCGCTGGGTTTCTCCCTCCTCTCTGCTGGGCTGGGCAGACCTCGGCCCCCCTCGGCAGGCTCCAGGTGGATGGTGCCGCTTGCTCCTCCTCCGGGTGCCCTCGGGCAGCGAGGTCCTGGCCTTGCTGTGGTCCCACGGGAGGGGGGGTCCTCCTCCACCACCTCCACGTCCTCCTCCTCCTCCTCCTCCTCCTCCTCCACCTCCACCTCCACCTCCTTTTCCTCCTTCTGTTCTTCCTCCTCCTCCTCCTCCTTATCCTGCTTATCCTCCTTATCCTCCTTCTCCTCCTCCTCCTCCTCCATATCCTCCTTCTTATCCCCCTGCGCCATTCCTTTTCCTTATAAGCAACTCCTTCCTGTCGAACCCTGAAGCCCGTCGAAAGGGCAGGCCAGGCGCTTCGCCTGAGACTTCCTCACCACCTCTGATCCTGAAGCTTGGGAGTTGCATCAGTTTTGCGGATGGAAGGCTGATGGTTTTCAACATGTGGTTTTCGCCTTCGCGCCGCGAACATTTGGTTAAAACATGGAACCTTCACGGATGGAGGGCGGGTGGTTTTCACAATGTAGATCTCGCCTCAGCGCCGCGCAAATACGTGATCACAAATGCACGAGCTTCACGAGTTGAGGGCGGGTGGTTTTCAAAATGCAATTCTCGCTTCAGCGCCGCGCCCATTCGTGTTAAATAATTGCGAGAGGGACTGCCAGATGGAGGGCGGGTGGTTTTCAATATGTGGCTCTCGCAAGAGCGCCGCGCACATTCGCTCAACAAACGAAGGGGATCATGGATGGGGGCTTTTTTTGCGAAGCGTGGCTCTCGACTTAGCGCCGCGCACACTCGTCTCAAACATTGCAAGAGCTTCTTTGGCTCTCACAGTGAATCTCCCAGCTACCATGTTTTGGCACGATGACGGACTGTACAGGCGCAACAATTACGGTGATTGGCGGTGCTGAATTCCAAGGAATGGTGTGCTGGCACGATTCAGGATCATCAACACGCAGCAGCAACGATGCTTCGCAGCGTTGAAGTCCAAGGAGCAGTACCCTGGCACACTTCTGGATTTTTCAAGCGGCTCTCTTCCCATGGGACACTTCCCCCAATGAACATGGAGTCCGCGCAGTGGCCTATGAAGAGTGAGCTTGGAGGGGTGCTTCATTGCCATATCGTTGATGGGGCTTGAGTTTGCACTGGTCCTCCCCCTCCACTTTCGCATCCTCCTCCTCCTCCTTTCCCTCCTTCATTTCTTTGCCTTCTAAATAACACCTCCCTGTCATTCCCCGAGGCCGGTCGAAAAGGGCGGGCCTGGCGTTTCGCCTCACCATTTCTGATCATGAAGATTGACAGTTGCAACAATTTCACATATTGTCGTCGGGTGGTTTTGGACATGTGGCTCTCACCTTAGCGACGTGCACACTCGATTTTTGTAAGCTTGAATACGCTTCACGGATGGAGGGCGGGTGGTTTTGAGCACGTGGTTCTCGCCTCAGCGCCGCGCACATTCGTCTTAGAAACCTGAACGAGCCTTACGGATGGAAGGCGGCTCCTTTTCAACAAATGGCTCTTGCACTGTCGCCATGCGCAATCATGTTAACAAAATCTTCAAAGTTTCTCATGGCAGCCGTCCCGTGACTGATGCTTCTTTTTTGTACGATGTCGGACTGTCGAAGCGCACTTGCTTTGTTGATTCGTGGTGTGCAACTCATAGCACGGTTCAGGATCGTCAAGACGCAACTTTGGCGATGATTCGTGGCGTTGAAGTCTCAGGAATGGTGTTCTGGCACATTTCAGGGTGCCCAGTTGATTGTCTTCCAACGTGGCACTTCCCTCGGTGAGCATGAATCTTTGTAGGGGCCTCAGAAAGAGGGAGCTGGAAGGGATGGCCTTGGGTTTACACTGGTCCTCCTCATCCTCCTCCTCCTGCCTCACCTCCTCCTCCTCCTCCTCCTCCTCCTGCCTCACCTCCTCCTCCTCCTCCTCCTCGTGCTCCTCCTCCTCCTCCTCCTCATCCTCCTGCCTCTCCTCTTGCTTATCCTCTCCTCCTCCTCCTCCTCCTCCTGCCTCCTCCTTCTCCTCTCCTCCTCCTCCTCTCTCTCCTCCTCCTCTCCTCTGCTCCTCCTTCCTCCTCTTCTCCTCGCCTCCTCCTCCTCCTCTCCTCTCTCCTTCTCCTCCTCCTCCTCCTCCCCTCCTCCGCTCCTTCCTCTCCGCCTCCCTCCTCCTCTCCTCCTCCTCCCTCTCCTCCTCCTCGTGCTGCCTCTCTTCCTCCTCCTCCGCCTCCTCCTGTGGCTCCTGGCTCGGGGCAAGCGCCACGTTGGCGCTCGGCTGCCCGCGCCACGGGCCCGGCGAAGGCGCCGACGGCCCCGCGGCCGAGCCGCTGCCACGGCGAGCGCCGAGTCAGGGAGCAGGGCCGCGTGTCTGGGGGGCCTGCGTTTCACCCCCACAGCGACAACCAAGACCACGCGAACGGCGATGTCGCTTGACGGTGATGCTGGAAATCGAACTGTAGGAAATCACGAACCACACTTCCCCACATTTCCGATCTGCGGACGCATCGAACGAAAACGACACAGCGAATTGCATGAAAGTGCGAGCCGCGCGTTGCCACAATACTGAAACCTACATCGCCGTTAACTGCATCGCCGTTAGCGCGTCTACGGGATAAGCCAGGGGCGGATGGTGTATAGTGTTAGGTCGAGCATGTCCTCTTACAGGCGGATTTTGGGCGAAGAATAAACAATTATCAAACATTTCCAAACATCCGCAACGTAGTTGCAAAGTCGCCCCCAGACTATTTTTGATTGTTTTTCCCCAATCAGAGCTTGCCTCTGTAAGGGTCCTAGCGGGTTGACTAGGTCAAGTTCGTCGCCGATTTCGGTGGCTGGCCCGGGTGCCCGGGTGCCTGGGGGTACCCAGGTGCCGGGGGGTGACCGGGTGCCCGGGGGTGCCAGGGGTTGCCCTGGGGTGCCCGGGTGCCTGGGTGCCCGGTAGCCCTATAGCCTTATGGCCTTATAACCTTATGGCCTCATAGCCCCACAGCCTTATAGCCTTATAGCCTAAGCTCTACAGCTCTATAGCCCTATAGCCCTATAGCCCTATATCCCTACAGCCCTAATAGCCCTATAGCCCTACAGCCCTATAGCCCTGTAGCCCAAAAGCCCTATGGCCCTATAGCCTTATAGTCTTATAGCCTTATAGCCCTATAGCCCTATTGCCCTATAGCCCTATAGCCCTATAACCCTAATAGCCTTATAGCCCTATAACCTTATAGCCTGATAGCTCTATAGCCCAATCGCCCTATAGCCTTATAGCCTTATAGCCCTATGCCCCTAGGGCCTGTAGCCTTATAGCCCTGTAGCCCTATAGCCCCAGAGCTGTGTAGCCTTATATCCCTACAGCCTCATAGCCCTATAGCCCTAAAAAATGAAGGTCGGGTTTTCCTTGGGTAGCATTGAATACTCGTCATGTAGAGGGACAGGCCCGACTTAAGTATAGTGGTGGTGATGACTCAGTGGCTCATTACCTCCATGTCTCAATGGCCTCCATACGACCATGTCTCTCCCTCCCTCTATCTCTGCCTCAATGGCTCAATACCTCCATGTCTCTCCCTCCCTTTATCTGTCACTTTCACTTTCTCTCTTTCTCTCTCCTTTTTTTTTTTCTCTCTCTCTCTCTCTCTCTCTCTTTCTCTGTGTCTCTCTCTCTCTGTCTCTGCCTCTGCCTCTGTCTCTGTCTCTCTGTCTCTGTCTCTCTCTCTGTCTCTCTCTTTCTCTCTCTCGGAATATGATATATGTCTCTCTCGCTCTCTTTCTCTCTCGCTCTCTCTCTCTCTCGATCTCTCCATCCCGATCCCCGCATTCCGGCTCCCTTGCCAGACCTGCCTCGCCGCCTTTTGCTCCTGCAAGCCCTGATTCAGGCGTTCTCTCTTTCCCGACCGACATATGCACAGACATAATCAATATACAATGATATGCGCAACAGCGTATTTCATCGGATGGAGGGGGCCGAACGGTCTTACACCATCCCTGGGTGCGAGAGTGAAACGGGATTCCGTGGCCCACTTTCTGTTTCGTTGTAGTTGTTGTTGAGTTCCCATAGCGCATCTAAATATATATATACACAGATTGTTTATCCTCCCTCTCTGGTGCACCTTATGCTTTTCAAATGAAATGCTCCTCCTCGGGCCCACACCCAGATTTTACAAGGGAAAATATTCAACCTCAGAATGCGCCCCGAACTACCAAAACAACGGCTCCCGCCTGATACTTCTTCACGGTTTATTCAAAATCTCGCTCTCGCGCGGAACCTCTTCACACATTGTCAAGGAATCTCGCTCTCGCTCTGCATGTCCTCACGGTTTACTTGGGAATCGCGGTATCGCTGGAGATTCCGTCACGAATCATGAAGAACTGGCGCTTCAGCGACCCGCCCGCTCGACCTCGCCGTCTGAGGCCGCCCGCCAGACCCGCCCCGCCCGTCTGGATCTGCCGCTCGTTTCTCTGCTGCTAGCCCCCCTCCTGCTAGCCAACCCATATCCCATCTCGTCCTCCACCCTTCCCTCTTCCCGTTGTCCCTTCCACCCTCCCTTCCCCTGGTCTAGGGGCTGGGCTGCGCCAGCTACACGTGGCAGGGAAGGACGGTATATACCCCCAGGGGGGGGGGGGCATGATCGAATACGAAGAGGGCGGGTATCGAGGGTTCGGGGTGTACATGTTGAATGACACGCGAGCGAAGAAGAACGAACCATCTTAAAACGATTGTTGTTGTTGCTGCTACTATTGCTGTTGTCGTCCCCCTCCCCCCCGTGACCCCCATACGACCCACCCTGGGACCCACCCTGGGACCCACCCGCGACTCACCCGCGCTCTACCCGCGACCCACCCCGCGCCGGCCCCATCACTCTGGTCCGCGTTCGAGGGGTGCCACACGTTGGCCGCGCGCACACGGGAGAGGTTGGAGGGGGGAAGGCTTCTTAGAAGGAGGCGGCTTCTTAGAAGGCACTGGCACTGGCCCTACATATACAGACAAGACCCGCGCCTTCTAAGAAGCAGGGGTGCTTCTAAGGAGCCTCCCCCCCCTCCCCCTACCCCCCTCTGCGCGTGGTTGGACACACACACACACGCACACACGCACACGCACACGCACACACACACACACACACACACGCACGCACGCACGCACACACACACACACACACACACACACACACACACACACACACACACACACACACACACACACACACACACACACACACACACACACACGCACACACGCACACACACACACACGCACACACACACACAAACGCACGCACGCACGCACGCACGCACATCCCTCCCTGCATCTTACCTGTTTCTCTCTCAGTCCTTCCACCCGTCTCCAACGCAGGAGGCATAGGACGGGGAGGAGGAGGCCCTCCGTTGAAAGCGCGCGCCCGGCCGTCTGGTGCCCCCGCGCGCCGCGGCCGTCTCACGAGCGCGGCTTCTCCTAAGACGAAGCCAGGGCGATGATAACTCGGGTGAGGGTAATTCGAGAACCTCTGAGCTCCAGCGGCTCTGGAGGACGTCTCGGGTGCCGCGGCCTTCTCAGAGCGTTCCGGAACGCCCTGAGAGCATCCGGGAACGCTCTGGAACCGATTCATCCTCGTCCTAGCTCGATGATCCTCAGAACGCGTGTTGGCCCCAACGTGTGCTTGTCCATCGAGGCCCTTCGACACGACCCAGGCGATGCAATGATCTACTGGTTGGGCTGGAGGGGGTAAACACACATTGGGCCAACGCACGTCCTGAGGATCATCGACCAGCCCCGCCCGATCTCCTTCTTCTCCCGGTAGAGCGCCCCGAGGCCGCAGCCGGCCACCTCACGGCTGCACTGCAGGACCGACCCTCTGGGCAAGCTGCTCTCTGGCGCGCGGCCCGCCGATGAAGAGTCGGGGATCCGTCTGACCCGGGTGAATCCAGACTCGGGTCCGTCAGGCCTTGCAGAATCCTGGAAGATCCTGCAAGATCCTGCACCCAAACCTGGGTCAATGCGAAGGATCCTGCGAGATTCTGCAGGATCCTGCACCCTAGCCCGGGTCAATACGACCCTGGCCCTGCAGGATCCTGCAAAATCCGGCGCTCTCTGGCTAACCCTCGTTTGCATTGCCCCCCTTTCTTGAGCCCCGAGAAATTGTTTTCCCATTACTTCCGGCCAAGGTCGTCACACAGGGGGGGAATTCGGGCATCGGTTAAGGGGAACGTTTGGGCGAGGTGGGGCACGTCGGGGCAGGTGTGCACTGCGATGGCCATAGCATGCGCGCGATCAGAATGGGGGGGGCTGCCATACCCCCCCATACGTACGATCGCTACGCGGGGAGGGGGGGGGCCCGGTGACGGCCATTACGGGCCAGAGGATAACAACACCTAAATCTGGACAACGGCGACCCTCTGGTGCGCGGCCCGCCGATGGTGGCGTGCGGTGCCGCAGTGGCGGCCTGCGCGCTTCCCAGGTCATCCAGGCGCTTCGCTGCTGTTCGATGCGAGGGCCCCGGTCGACTCGGCCCACTTCCCTGCATCGTTCTGCCGACGGTCCCGAGGCCCAGAGCTGAAACTGGCCCCCAAAGAAACCAGAAGCGACGACTCGCTGGCCGCCTCGATCCTTCGATGCGCCAGATACCTGGGCTGCATGGGTGGCCCCCCCTGGCGCCCACCGGAAGCCTCGCGCCTGAGGCAACCCTGGCAGAGCGCCACCCCTCAAGTGCAGCCGAGCCTTCACGACCTTGAAGCGCACGCCGGGGATGTCCCCGACGGCGTGCCCGCGGCGGCCGAAGCCGGAGATCAGCACCTGCGGAGGAGCCGGGGAAGACAGCACGTGCAGCAAGCTTCGGAGGCCCGCGCCGGCTTCTTGGGTCGGCGCAAAGCCACTGTCCCCTGGCGCACGGAGCGCCCCCAGGATCGCCAGGGGGTCCAGCACCGCGCCGACCCAAGAAGGCTGGACGCTGCGAGAAAACAGCGAGGCCGGAAGAAGGACTGCTGGACCCCCCTGGCGGCGCCTTCGGCGCCGTTGCCGGCGCACTCCGCGCGCAAGGGGAGGTGGGGTCCAGCGCCGAACCAACAAATCCGCGCGGGCCTTCGACAAACTGTATTTGCCTAGTTTGTTGTTTATTCTAACCTCGTCGTTCTCGTCGACGAAGTTCAGGCAGCCGTCGCGGGGCACGAATGCAGCCACCTTCTTGCCGTTCTTGATGAGCTGCACCCGGCAGCACTTGCGGATGGCGGAGTTCGGCTGCTTGGCCTCGATGCCGATCTTCTCCACAACGATGCCCTTCGCATGCGACGTGCCGCCGAAAGGATTGCACTTGTACTTGGTGCCCAAATTGGCCTTCTTGTAGTCCTTGTCCGCCCAGAGCTGCGAGCGACGCCGGATCACGAGCTTGCGCGCGCACTTGATCCCACGCGGCTTGCTTCCGCCCATGGCGTCGGCCGCGCCTTCGATACCCCGACGGGGTCTGCTCCTCCGAGCCAAAGGTGGCTTGAGCCAAAACGGCTGCGGAAGAGGAAGGGGAGGATGAAACCAGGGGCGACGAGGACGAGAAAGATGTAGACGACGGTGACGAGGTTAAGGATGGCCAGCATCGCAAACACTCTTAATATTGGGGGCGAGCCCACCCACTCAGGACGTAGATGACGAAAGAACAAAAAGCACTTAATAAATTGGTACTCGACTGAAATGAGTAACAGAGAATGGCGCAGGGCCCCCAGAAGGAAACCGTGGGCATAAATTAGATCAGCAAGCTCCCCGCCACCATGGCAGTCATGGCCCCAGTCGCTCAGACGCGGCGTCGGGGAGATCGGTTCACCGCCACCACGGCGCGGCGCGCTCAGTCAGCATCTCGCCGATCCCCGCCAGTTTCGGACGGACTTTGAACTTGGCATAAAGCATAATCGATGGCGTTGCCATCCAACCCCCTGTCACAATGGTGGGCAAACCATCAGTCCCGATGGCGCCGCGTCCAGCATACTCTCGCAGCCCAGATCGTGAGCTTGCCAGCTGTCGGGGGCTTGCGCACCGCGCGCCCGTTGCGCTGCCCACGCCTGAGGAGGCATGGCATCGCATCTCCAAAGGATCGATGCGCCGCGCCAACGCACCGAAGTCGCCCTGCCCTGCAAAGAGAGCCGAAACCTTCTCGCCTGGCGCGTGAGCGACGGCGCGACCACTCAACTCCCCGTCCATCTCAAGACGGGAAAAAGCAGGTGCTCGAGGAGACGGGTCCTGGACCCCAGGACCTTTCCGGGGCCCAGCTTCTCCGTCCTCCGTCCCCGGGCGGCCAGGATGGCGAAAGAACCCAGGCCTCGGGACCCCTTCCCCTCGGGGCTCCCCCTTCCTTCTGTGGCGACGGCTCCGCTGGGTCACCAATCTGTCGTACCACCCGTCGAACAAGCCTTCTGACGCCCCTATGGGTAGGTTGGGCATGTCCCCCTAAAGGCCGATTTTGGATGAAAAGTAAAACAAAGTCAAACATATTTGAAAAAACGTTGAACAATTGAAAATAATCGTCCCCAATGCATGTGTTTTGACTCTGTTCGAATACTCCTCATGTAGAGGGACACGCCCGACTCAACCCTATGGGGCATGTCCTGGGAGTCTCGCTGGCACCGGTAAGCCCCGGGACAGCGGCACCTGGCGGCAGGCACTTGGGGGCGCGCGCGCTGGCGCCCCGCGTGGCGGAGGCGGCGACGGCGCGGCCCCGCCAGTGACCCACCCTTCCTCCTGCTCCTCCTTCCTTATCTCCACCTCCACCTCCTCCTCCTCCTCCTCCTCCTCCTCCTCCTCCTCCTCCTCCTCCCTCCCCTCCTCCTCCGCCTCCTCCTCCTCCTCGTCCTCTTCCTCCTTCTCCTGTTCCTCCCTCCATTCGCCCCTCAGTAACGAGAGAAAGAACTCAGGAACCACCGAGGAGCCACGAGGGAACCGCTGAGGAGAAATCCAGCGCCGCTACGGAGCCCCTAGGTAACGACAAAAACAGAAGATGCACAAGATTGAAAATGTCATAGCGGACAGCGGCTCCCCAGAAAAAAGCCTCATATCCCCCCATCTGACCAGGAGCCCGACGCCGTCGCACGCGACCCTCCGACACCACCAACTCCGATCCCATCTGGGAGGCCTGGAAGGATCCCCTCTTCCTTCATGGCGACCGCTCCACGGAGTCACCACTCTGCCAAGACTCAAAAATCGGACCCCCCCCTCCCCCGCTTTGTCAGGGAGCACTAAGCCGGGTAACGCCGAAACGGGGACAGACCCACCATGGGATCCAGGTGAAAAATATGCAACGACCAGAACAAAAAATGCACTGAATTTTTCTGCAACGCAAAAAACACTGCAATGTGTTGGCAGCTAGTTGCGGAAAAACTGCAAATAAGCCCCACAGACCGGGTAACAGAGGGCCCAAAACAAAAAGTTGCAGTGCAGCAGCCGAAAATGCGCAACGCAGCCAGCAAGTGGAAGGTGCTGCATCGAACGCGAAAGCAAACAAAAAAATGCACTGCAACAAATGGGCCATTTGATGCCTCGAACCGGCCGTTTCCTGTTACCCCGTCTGCTGTTACCCCGTCTCTGGCTCCCTTACTTTGGCCACGCCGCCCCCTAGCTCCTGAACCCTACCCCCTAACCCTGCCGCCGTAATGACCTAACCCTCCTAACATTCGAACCCGAATAGCCTAAGCTTGACACTCTAAGCCTGACACCCAAGTCCGACCACCCGAACACCCTAACACCCAAATCCTAATACACTAACCCTAACACCCTAACCCGAATACTGCCGCCCTGAGCCGTAAGGTCTGAGCCTAACAACTTAATCCGAACCTTACCGCCCTAACCCAAACACCCGAACCCTAACACCCTACCACTACATAGCCCGAACACCCTACTACGAACCCTACCGCCCTCACCCGAACCCTACCACCCTAAGTGTAGCACCCTGACCCTAACACCATGACCCTAGCACCCGAATCCCATGCCATACACCTCAGCCTAACACCCTGGCCCTAACACCTGAACCCGACACCCCTAAGACGAACACCCGAACCATAACATCCTAAGCCAAACACCCTCAACCTAACATCCTGGCCCTAACACCCGAATCCTAACACCCTAAGCTTAACACCATAACACCCGGATTCTAACCCCATAAGCTCTAACCCCTAAGCCAAAAGCTCTAAACTCTAGGCCCTAAGCCATAAGCCCTCAGCTTAAGCCAGAAGCCGTAAGCCATAAGCCTTAAGACCATCATCCCAGGCTTTAAACCCTAAGCCCGACGCTCTAAGCTTTAAGCCCTAAGCCGTAGGCCATAAGCCCGACGGTTTAAGCCCTAGTCTCGGCTGGGTGTGCGTGCCACGAGCTGTTTTCTCATCCCGTGCCACGTGCTCTCACTGGGTACAGCAGGAGGAAAGCACTGATCGTTGTTATCGCTGTGGCCCTTGTGACAGTTATCTCGTTGTTATCGTTGTGACCGTTGTCGCTGTGATAGCTATCCTTGTGAGCGCTGTTGCCGTCGCCCGGGAAAGAGGAGGGCCAGATTCAGCCCTGCGGTGTCCGTAAGTAAAGGTTGGGCATGTCCCCCCGCATGCTGATTTTTTGGGGCAACATTTAGCATAGCCAGCAAATGCCCCGAAAAAGCTCAAACATACTCAGCAAATCTTCCCCCTACTATTTTTTGACTCTCGTTCTGAATACTCCTCCTGTAGAGGGACAGGCACGACTCAATGTCATCGTTGTGATCGGTGCCGTTGTGCTAGCTATCGTTCAAAAACCCTTACGAATGCTCAACAATACAGAGAAAAAAAACGCCCTTCTTCTAGAGGGACAGGCGCGACTCAACCTGGAGGGGAGCGCTGGCCACCGCAGGGGGACGCCGCAGCGGCCCGCGCGTGGCCGTGCCCCGGGCCGCCAGGCGGGCGGCCCGCTGGTGGGGCGGAGGCCGCGGCGGCCCGCCGAGCGCTGGGCTGTCCCGGGCGATGCGGCGCCCAACTGGGCGTCTTGGCGGCGCGCATAAGGGGGGGGAGGGAGGGAGGGGGGAGGGCTTCTTCGAAGGAGGCTGCTTCTTAGAAGGCGCCGGCCTGACATCTTAGGAGGCAACTACTGGGAGGTCTTCGTCGGAAGGATTAAGGAGAATTGCGCCCCATTGGGGGGGCTGTTACGCCGGAAAGGGCTTCGGATTAAGCGGGATTAAACCAGACTGAGCGGGATGAGGCGGGATTAACCCGGATTAAGCGGGATTGAGCCGGATTAAGCTGGATTTCAGACCATGGAAACATCAGAATTTGACCTCCCAGGAGTTGCATCCGAACACAGGGGGGTAGAGGGAGGGGGGAGGGCTTCCTAGAAGGAGGCTGCTTCTTGGAAGGCGCCGGCCTCACATCTATACAAGTGAGGCCCGCGCCTTCTAGGAGGCAGGGGTGCTTCCAAGAAGCCCTCCCCCCTCCCCCCGACCCCTCTGCGCGAGGCTTGGCGTCGCCGGGAGAGCGCCGCGGAGGATCCCCGGGCGAGAGCAGCGTCGGCTTCCAGGCCCAGACATGATCGCGTCGATAAAAAAGTCAGGACGGCAAGTTTGTCGCTCTTTTCGGCCCCTGCAGAGGGCCTGGGCCCCAGGACCGTCCCAAAAACGGCGCAGGATGAAGAAACGGTCCCGAAGAAAGGGTCGGGACTTCTCGAGGACCGCGTCGTGAAAAAGTCAGGACGTCGCATGTTGGGGGTTGCACTGGGGCGGACAGTAAGGGCGACGGATAGACCAAGGGCGGGCGTTACGCGCATTCGCCCGGGAGCCTCGTCGAAGACATGGGCAATCGGAGGCTCTGGATGCATGTGCTGCTCTCCCATGGGCTACTGGGCGTCTTGTCCAAGAGGCGGGCCGGCGCATCGCCGGCACAGGTGCCAGGGGTGCTCTGGCAAGCGGAGAAGCTGTCGAAATGGGCTGGGCGCGATCTGGAGGCTTGGCCCCATGCCCAGAGGGGATGCTGGCGCCGCGAAACCTGCGCAATGCCCCATTCACTGTACAGCGCCTCCTTGTCGCGCTTGGCCTGTGGAGTCAAGCACTGGTTGGCCGAGCACACACACAACTCGGCTGCATGCGCGGAGCCGGCGGGAACCCGTAGAAGCAGGCCACCGCTGCCTTAGCAAAAAACTGGGCTGGAGCGGAGAAATCATGGCACGGAGCAGGGCTGCATAGAGCAGGCCCCGCATCAGTGTGAGACGCTTGGGGCCAGGAGAGTTGGCCAGCGCCCGATAAGCAGTGGGCTGCCCGTCGCGAAGGTCCTGGGGGCTGCTGGGGCACCATCTGCATAGACGCGACCACAAGCTTGAAGGCATCATCGGGCAGCTCCGTAAGACAACAGGTGTGGTCCAATATCGGGCACTGGCGGTCCAATACAAGGCACCCGTGGCGGCGCAGGTTCATCAAGCGAGCCATGCGATGTATCGGCCTGCCTAGCGGCGTCTAGCGGCTTCGGGGTAACGATGAACACCTAGACAGCGGCGCGGCTCCAACATGCAACAC